GGTGGAGTTTTGACCAGTTTATCGTGCACAAAATCCGCTGCGAAGAGGTGGAGTGAGTTGAAATGTGTAATATCCACAAAGAGGGAGAAACCCGAGAATAAAATTGGGAACAGTAAAGTAGCAGTGAGCGATTAATGTGACAGATTGAACAAAAATAGCAATTAACTACTTTCAACTCAATCCGAAGGTTACTTTACCGCGGAAAGTTTATTTATATCGACGATTTGTGGAACAGCGGTAGTTTGATAGACGATACTAAACCCCAAATACATTATAGTGGATATCGTTAGTCATACACCTATCAATCCTACAATTCTGGTTTATTTCGATGACTTGCTTTAGCTCCAGACCGGTGTACGAGGACTGAGCAAAACGCTGCCGGTTACACAAAATGTTTTGTTTGTTACACAAAAATTAGCATCACTTTTTCTCGAATTATCCTTCACCAGTGTTCGTTCAAGCACAGTTCCACACACTCAAATTGTTTGGTGATAAAGCTCAACAATGCCGACGCAAGTACCCTTTCGATTAGTTCATTAAGGACCTCCACTGCGGCTGTTAGTGACTCGTCTCGTTGCCTCCTTTGGGGTATACTGAAAGGGAGGAAAACAATCAAGGATATCCTGTCGCCTCATTGGTTCGAGAACTCAACTACACGTGCATTCGTATAAATAGATCACATGTGACAGGACAGTCAGTTTGGGAACAATTCCAACAATCAAGCCCGAGTTTAATCCATTTCAGAAAATATCGGCTAAAGTCGAAGTTATTCTTGACATTTTCACTCTAAACACTAACTTCGGGGAACGCTGCTGGCTGACATGGGTCCAGGGCCACTCTGAAAGCATTAACATTCGCGCAGTTGACCACTTCTGCGGGTAACCTGTACCATATAGGTAGGTATGACCCTGTGTGCGAAGAAGTTGGCCCGTACTTCCAACCTGGCGTGATTTTGTTGAAGTTTATAGTCATGACCTCTCGTATTTTTGAGCACGAGAAATCATAAACAAATCATTATGGTTGAGTCCTGATAGACTTCTTTGTAGTAATCGGAATGGTATTGAATTTAGGAATACGAGAATCCGGACTGTACGGCTCAGAATTGAACTTGCTCCAACTCGAAATGCTGACATCAATGAACTACACGAGGAATTGATAGCAGCAAATGCTCATGTATATTGATGGAATTAGATCATGTTTTATAGAATTTAATAGTCCATATATTAATTGAACGAGCATCCTCTAATCACGTAACCGTTTGCACCGACGTATTATATGTGCTAACTCGGATGTCATGTTCGCCCGGTGTACCATTGGTCGATCTTCCTGAACGGTGATTGGATGACATGAAACTGTACCTAGTCGTGCATGGATTGCGGTCACGGAAGTCTGAATCACCACTTTCTTACAATTTTAAAAGTCTCTATCAGATCTCCCCTCACTCGTTCACGCTACAGCGAAAAGAGACTAAGATCTCTTAACCGCTGCTCATAGCTTTTCCCCTTTTGCCCAGTCACCTTTCAGGTAGCTAGGCGTTGAACTCTTTCCAAACATGTTGCATTCATGCTGTAATACGGTGCCCATGCCTACACACAATACTCCATGTGTGGGCGAACAATTGATTTATACAGTGGGACGAAAACCTCAGGTCGTCTGCATGTGACTGCGGCATACAAGCTGAACAGCTGCCCGCTAGCCTGATTGGCAGCCTTGGAGCACTGAGTTGAGGGTTTAAAATCTTGGGTCATAAGAACCCCTAAATTCTTCATCTGCGGAACCTGCTGTATGGGAGCTCCATTCAACGAGTTTGCTCCAGCTCTCGTTGCTAAGAGCCGCCACTTGCTTAAATTCAAAGGTAGGTCCCACTTGACCGACCATCAATGGACTATCCTTAGGTCTCTTTGCATGTTTAACCCTGTCATTTTGACATCATCAGCAAACATGAAGCACGGATTTTGAAGATCCTGTGCCAGCTCGTTAATGAATATGATAAAAGTAAGGGTCCTGTCACTGATCCCTGGGAAATCCCACTTGTAACCCTGTCATGGCTAGAAATGCAGTTACTCACCTTGACCCGGAAGGTGGGATTACTCCCTTGCTCCCTTGCCGGTGTCAGGAGTCCATTGCTAGTCAGGTGTAGGCAAACCTGCCTTTTGATCAGCCGCTGCAGGCACTTACACAGCACTGACGTTAGGCTAACGGGTCTATAGTTTTCTGCTTTGTGTTTCGGTCCAGCCTTGTACAATGTNACTGCAGCAGCTGTACGCCAGTCCTGGGGTAGCGTAGCAGTTTGAACTGATTCCCTAAAACGTACATTCAGCGGCCAGGCTAGCAACCCCGCCAGCGGCTGCACTATGACTGGATGGATTCCATCCGGATATGTTGACTTGTGCTTGTTGAGTGTCTGGAGTTCTCGATGTACATCTGTTTCACAGAGGGCACAATTGGCAAACTCTGATGTATCAGTTGACCTTGCTAAACCCGGATTATCGAAGTTTGTTGGGGTCCTATGAACGCTTTTGAAGAACTTAAGTAGAGTCTTCGTTTTATCGCGGTTATACGTAGCGATGCTTCCATCGGGCAAAGCTAGTGCTCCTACATTCTCCGGTTTGCGTGCGTTGGCTAGCACATACGCATAGAAACCTTTCGGGTTCGTTTTGACGTCTCGCCCTAATTTAAGTTCAAAGTCATATTTAATACACCTTGACATCTGTTGCGCGCCCGCTTCTAGTCACTCCACGCTTGTTGAGTGCCGTAAAGCTTAAAGCTATCCCAGTACTGTCGGTAAATTTTCAGCGCCCTCTCTATCCCGGGTTTCCACCAGAGTGGGTCCGTGCCCACGATAACTAGTCTAAAGCGAATAACTTCGTGGTCACTTTTGCCCATAGGTTCTTCCATATTTAGGCTAGTTATGTCCGAGTAGTACCTTGTGACAACTAGGTCTATCAGCGAGGGTCTCTGTTGTCCTCGGTATCTCGTGACTCTTGTCACATGCTGTGACGGAGCTCTTTCTTGTAGAAATTGCAAGAATGCAGGCCTTGGGGATCCTGTAGGTATATACCCCGTTGACCATGCTACCCCCGTAAAAATAAAGTAGCCAGTTATGACAAAACGCTGGTGTTTGGCCAGGGTTTCTTGCAGGATCACAAGTAGCTCCGTATCTTCCTCTGGTGTCGTATTCGGGGTTCTATATATGCATGCTACGCCCACTTGCTTCCTACCTAGTTCAATATAGCATCTTGTGGCTTGGATGTTCGGAGCACCTAACTCCAGTTGCATTTCCCTATGGTTTCGGGCAGTCTTGACTAGCATCCCTACTGCATTCCCCTGTCCGCGTCAATCCTGCCCTGCCTAAAGCGTGTATACCTGTTTAAATGGACAAAGGATTGCCCCTTTTTCAGCTATGATTCAGTGATACTGACCAGGTCTGATCCCCGGGAGCGGACTCCTAATTCTTCCCACTTTCCACTGATACTACAAGCATTCGTGTACCATACTGTGATAATTTCTACTTGTAGAGCTGGTAGGGATGGCCTATCTATAGCATCAGAATCCTCGGGCGTAATACTCGAGGAGCCACCTCGTGATTTTCTATAACGTTGACGATGGGCATATCCTCAGCTACCCATGACAGTCCACCTTTGGCTTTACCTATATTAGTAACTCTCACAAGGTTTTTCAGGTCTGCTGGAGCCCTCATTCACCACGGCCGGCTTTGCCGAAGTGTATTGGCTACACTCGTGACCCAGCTGCAGGATCCAGATGGCATTTTCGGTGTTTCCAGTGATCCTCCTTTGTGGGTAAGATGCTACCCCTTTGTAGGAGCATTTACCTACTTGCCTACTTGCGTGCGCTTCCACTTCACATTCTCGGTCTCTGGGGTCGT